TTGGCCAGTGTTATTTCGCTGGTTCAACGTGACAGCCATTAGAATAGCGTCACAGGAGAAACCGTGTCCGGTCATATATGTAGAATCGCAGAATGCCCATCTCGTGCGTAGGTGACTTTTGGTTTGGAAAGTCGCCAAGGGTTCGAGGGCCAGGTTATTCGGAAAAACCCCGGCGATGCATCAGGCCCTTAGCATGACCATATTTGGTCGTGTTGGGGGAGACTTTTTAGGGAATATATAAAGATGGCAGAAATGGTTAAGGGACGATTCGTGGGAAACGATTCTTGAGAGACAGTGCTTGAGAGATAGTCAAGCTGGGTCAGTGAGTCGCAATCGTGTTGTTAGTTGTAATTGTAAGAGTTTAGTTGATAAATATATATATATATATTTTCGTAGTCTTTACAGTCACCGCACATTGTATATTATTTTATGTTTAATAAATAGTTTTATATTATTTAACAACCACCGTGTCTCTACATATATGACCAACATGACCTGTCAAAGTGTTAATCTTGAAAGGAGATTGACAACGATCAGGTGGAATGATCAATCACTTCTGAGACCGATCTTCGTTTGTTAATTTATTAATAGAATCTTTCGTTCATCGGGATGGACTGAATATTCAAGCAAAGAGCACGTGCAAAGACGACAGGCCATTTTTCTGGGTTTTCGTGGCAGCAGGTGCCTGTTCGCGTTTATTTCCGTTTTCCCTCGTCATGCCTTCCAGCAGTTTATCCCCAGGCTCGACCACTGCATGCATCCCTCTTCGTGCCGCACGTTACAGGGTCAATCTTATGCAATCTGTTTCCCTGGTAATTAAACATCATGATTTTTTAATGAAACTGTAGCCGGTCCGCGATTTTAAATCTTGCAACGTGAGTTATCCTTCTGGAAAACTTTCTCGCACTCTACCCTACGTTTCCGCCGTGTAATTTCCACCTCTTCCGGATCACCCTCCACCCTTTGCACTGGGCGAACGCGAAAATGTGAAATTTTCCAAAAATTTGTCATTATTCGAAAAATTTCGTTTGATTATCGTGCTCTGTATGTGGAACGAAAGGATCCGAGTAAATATAATGGAAATTATTCTTATAAATCGTGATTAAACGTAATATCGGTTTTATTTCGGTTTTACGTCGATTATGGATTTTTGGAAATTACTTCGAGGCCGGGTATCGGTGTTGTAACAATTTTCGTGCTTGGAAATTGCGCGTATATCGCGTTTTAATTACATTCTCCCACGAATTTCGCGTTTTCGCGGCAATTTATTTGTCAAGAGCAATGCAAATCGAAGAAACTTCGTGGCAAATACTTTGAATAATTAATAATGCTCGTTTATTTATCGAAAATCCGGAAATAGAACGTGTACTGAATGATTCGCAGGCCGAATTGTTCGCGACAGACCCGCGTAATTGCGTTGTAAAGCGTTCGGTGTTCGGTGATCGTTGCATGCACGGAGACAAAAGTCACACAGAAGTAGCTATAAATTGTGTACAAATATTGGGCGTGTTAACGAGCATAATCAAAGGAGCGTAATTTTGCTGGATACACATCCGCCGGAAGTGAAAGTAATTTAATCGCATCAGCCGACGATTATGTCGTTTTTACCGCGACCTCAGGAACTTGTCGAACTTCCTACCGAGCTGAAATTTTGGCCAATTGCAATTGAAGCTGAGAGACCTAATTAAATATCTAATGAGCCCGAAAAGGCGCGATTAAACGATAAAACGTGTAATAAAACATACCGTCGAGATGAAATACAGAATTTTGGGGCAAAAATATTCTAATCGATAAAAATTAGTTTGTTTCTTGATAAAATATGAAATATTAACGGTAATAGGGAAGTACTAATAATAACATTAATCTGCATAATAATAATAATAATCTGTGAACTTCTTTTCTGCTTTAGAATATATTGACATGGATCAATAAATAGTAACAGAAGGTATTCGTTATTAGCGAAAATAATTACCTGTTTATCACAATTACGCAGCTGCCCAAGAAAGAAAATAGAAAATAGGAAGTAGAAAGAATTCGTTCAAAGAAAAATGACTATCATTCTAAATATCGAATATTAGAAACGAGGAAATTAATTTTTGGCCAGGCTGAGAACAATTATCTATGGTAATGGTTGACATAGATTTTAATATATATATTGATATAGAAATAAATAATGTCTGTGCTAAAGAATACGTGTAATGAATGAGGTATAGTATATACTGTGTATATTTATATAATATATGCAAGAAAAGAGAAAAAATGAGAGAGTAGTTGGTTAGGTCAGTTGCAATTCACAATTGATCGAGAGTAAACGTGTCTACTCCCTAAATCGTGTGAAAGAAAATTCAAAAATTAACACAATTCGATATATTTCATCTATAATTTTTACCCTAAACTCTAATATTGTTCAATAAATATTTAATATATTTGTTTAAATAAAATATCCATTACTAACACTATTTATCATCCTACACTGAACATTAACAGAAGAATTCCTCTATCAACCCAACACCATAATGTAACAGTACCACCATTGGTATCCTCCTCTGCAACAAGGAACAAACTTCGAAAATTAATACAACTCCATATATTTCGTCGTTTATTTTTACCCTAAACTTTAATATTGTTCAATAAATATTTAATATATTTATTTAAATACAATATCCATTACTAACACTATTTTAACTAACACTTTATTATTTCATTCCAAATTTACCATTGACAAAAGAATTCCTCCATCAACCCAACACCATAACGTACATAACAATACCACCACTAATATCCTCATCTGGAACAAGGAACAAACTTCGAAAATTAACACAAATCGATATATTTTGTCGATAATTTTTGCCCTAAACTCCAATATTGTTCAATAAATATTTAATATATTTATTTAAATATAATATCCATTACTAACACTATTTATCATTCCAAATTTACCATTGACAAAAGAATTCCTCCATCAACCCAACACCATAACGTACGTAACAATACTAGCATTGGTATTCTCATCTGGAACAAGGGATTCCTTCGAAAAAGGACATCCAGGCAATTGATTTCACGTTACTGCACCCGCACGAATCATCTCGGAAGTAATCAGTCTCCCCGCGTGACTTCCAATCGGCGGAAGTCGACTGCTAGGCCGGCACTCCGTTTCTAAACCTACCCTCCGCGGATACCCTTATTGGACTTCCGGCTTGGTCGATTGTTGTCGAGCTGGCCGGCGCCCACGTTCCCGGGAATCCCGTAAAAGAATGCCGGGACACGAAACCGTGGAGTCATGAATAGATGAGAGGCAGATAAAATTGAAAAGTTTTCCGCGGTTGCACAGGGATCCTGTACACAGGCTGTGGGCCTACAGTCGCCACTTTCGGCTACTCTGGCCTCGCTGGACAGGGCTTACAGTCCCTCTTCTCCTTTGCCATCCGGGGATTACGTCGCCGAGTTCATAACCGGTGCACATTGAAGCACGGAAACGCCTCGCCGTCACCGCGATTTCCGATCTGCCCCCGGAGAAAGAGCCCTCTTTAACGCTCTTGCGGCTACCTCGCCCGGTAGTTTTAATCATTTCCACGCGATCCATGCTGAAAGAAACCGAGATACCACTCTGGGAATCTTGCTGCGCTAAAATTACCCCACCACTCGATTTTACAACGGGTTTTTTCGAGACACCCTGTTCTAGGGGACCGGGGTGCTTCTTGGATTCGATTAACGTGACCGGGGAGTCTGTTATCCTGGGATTTCGTTACGAGTGGCGTGTTCGGTGGATTTTTCGGATTTTCCACGGATCTTTGGACGATCTCGTGTTCGTTGAAAATTTTTAATTAACGGCGAATCGAGTTACCATTCTTTAATTTCTCATTCTTTAATTTCATTAATTTCTTTAACTGGTTTAAGTTCTTTAGGGAGTCGATTTCCCGTTCTTTAATTTCTTTAATTCTCCGTTTTTTAATTTCCTTAATTCCCCGTTTTTTAATTTCTTTAATTCCCCGTTTTTTAATTTCTTTAATTTCCCATTCTTTAATTTCTTTAATTTCCCATTCTTTAATTTCTTCAATTCCCCGTTTTTTAATTTCTTTAATTTCCCATTTTTTAATTTCTTTAATTTCCCATTCCTTAATTTCTTTAATGTCCCGTTCTTTAATTTTTTAAATTTCTTTAATTTCCCATTTTTTAATTTCTTTAATTTCCCATTCCTTAATTTCTTTAATGTCCCGTTCTTTAATTTTTTTTAATTTCTTTAATTTCCCGTTTTTTAATTTCTTCAATTTCCCGTTCTTTAATTTCTTTAATTCCCCGTTTTTTAATTTCTTTAATTTCCCATTCTTTAATTTCTTTAATTTCCCATTCTTTAATTTCTTCAATTCCCCGTTTTTTAATTTCTTTAATTTCCCATTTTTTAATTTCTTTAATTTCCCATTCCTTAATTTCTTTAATGTCCCGTTCTTTAATTTTTTAAATTTCTTTAATTTCCCATTTTTTAATTTCTTTAATTTCCCATTCCTTAATTTCTTTAATGTCCCGTTCTTTAATTTTTTTTAATTTCTTTAATTTCCCGTTTTTTAATTTCTTCAATTTCCCGTTCTTTAATTTCTTTAATTCCCCGTTTTTTAATTTCTTTAATTTCCCATTCTTTAATTTCTTTAATTTCTTCAATTCCCCGTTTTTTAATTTCTTTAATTTCTTTAATTTCCCGTTTTTTAATTTCTTTAATTTCCCATTTTTTAATTTCTTTAATTTCCCTTAGTTTCTTTAATGTCCCGTTCTTTAATTTTTTAAATTTCTTATTTCTATAATTTCCTCAATTTCTTTAAGTCCTTAAGAGAATCGATGTGGGTCCTTCAATTTCTGATCTTAGTCTACCGCTATTTTAAAATCATAGAATGATCTTCGTGGCGCGAGAGGATTGTCTATACTCGCTCAAAAGAGTCACTACGAATTTTGTAAGCAAAATTAAATTTTGTTCCAAAACTAACGTTAGATCGATGCTAATTTTTCAGGCAACCATCAGCAGTATCCGGCACAACCGGCACGTCCACGGTTTCTTCGAATGCCGCCGATGGAGAAAATGGCCAAAGCATCGGCTTGTACCCGGTGGGAAGCGTGGGTCCAACACCAACGAACCCGACCACAGCTACACCTATCACCACCACGGCAACGATATCGCTGCCCAATCCTGGAACCGTTGCTGGGACAGCAACGGGGCCCAACATCACCAGGAGCGTGTCAGCGCCCACTGCACCCAGGCCTGTTATCCAGGTGGCAGGCTCTTCCAGCAACTCCAGCACCCAGAAACCCAGATTGAGGAGGACCATAAGTCGCACGGAGGCCATCAGGAAGTTAGTTCCATTTATTTCAAACATTCCTCCATCCTTTTAGTGTCATTCAGCGCGTAGGTGTATTCGGACTTATTTCTAAAATTACCATTTTTGAATCGGGATATGTAATTGACGATGCATTCGAATCCACTGTATTGCCAACAATTAATTATTGCCGGGAAACACTATGACTCTGCTTGGCATTTTTCGGTGTGAAATGAAAGACTCGAATAATTATGCAAAAATAACGTAAGATTTACGAAAAAATATTCGTATATACGATTGACGATTGGATCTTAATTTAACAATCTAATAAATCATCAAGTATCACAGTTACGATTTTAACACTTTCACTGCCATACTCTTTTTATTATGTATAGTACGTTCAGGGGCTCGCGATAAATTTTCCATTATTTTTAGGATATAATGACGAATTATCAAACAATATGGCAAAGGAAAAAAGAATAGTGCAAATTGTTAATATTTTTATTCAGAGTTCTCTATTCACTTACGTTGTTAAAATATTTAAAAATTGCTTAGAATAAAACAAATATTTTTTTTTTTATTAACCCTTTGCACTCGGGAGGCGCCTCTCAGTCGTCATTTAATCAAATTCTAAAGATGGATGTTAAATAATATATCAAATTTACAATTATCCTCGTTGCGTGAAATATCGAAGCAAAATAATTTTACGTCTTAATTTGCATACGATTTCTTATTTACCGTTTTAAAAATAAATACCAAGTGCAAAGCGTTAATGAGTATGCAGGTGTACAATTTGTCACCTGAGCATTTGGTACATTTTGAAGAATTTAGATATACGTTCCATTTGATGTTTGTCTGTGTTATCGAAACGAGTAATTTTCCTGAGAAAATTACTGTAGAAAACAAATATAAATTTAAAAAATTAGTAACGTCGGACATTGGTGACCACCATAACCACACTGACGAGACAGCATGGGTCACTGATGACTACCATGACAGGCAACGTGTTAACCTCTTCGTGTATCATACCCTGTGAGACTCGTAAGGAGATTGAGCCAAACACGAGTCTTAAATCATTGACTGACTCAAAGATCAGGAACTCAATTTTTATAGCTGAGCCCCAGATCGTCCATTGTCTTCGCAGGGGGGCACGCGTGGCTCTCGATGCGTCTAGTCTTTCCAGAACCTCAACCTACGACACGTGTACTTACTTACCTATGTCTTAACGCGTGTCTTCCCGATCGTCTGTTTCCTTTGTTAAGAGCACGTGTCGCGGAACGCTTTCGATGATTCCAATGTTTCTAGAACCATAACCCGCGACACGTGCCCCTGCGCTATTTGCCGCTGGCCGTCGAACGCTCCAGATGTTTCGAGGTCGCTGTTGTATCGAGTATCGCCGTTGAGAGTCATGGTGCGTAGACAGAACCCATCGTAAACATCACCGGTCAAGTTAATTTTCGCCGACGTCTTCCTCAGTCGCGTGTTATTCTTCGACGTGTTCGGACGAGATGGCTCGACGCGCGTTGACAAAGGCACGCCCCATTGGAACTGAAAGTGGTACGGCAAGTAGCTAAATTCCAAAGTCCTCGACTTTTTGAACCTCGGAATTAAGTCCGATCTTCAATTACATCGTCAGTATCCGTCAGCTATTTCCTCGCGAATTCCGCTCGAATTCCAAGGAATTCGTGCAATTCGCAGAGGCGTTCGCTGAGCATTCTTACCGAATTAATCCGAGCTGTAGCCGGTCTTTTTTCCACGCTTATTGCCCCCGAGGAACGCGAGGCAAAGGGATTTCCGAGAGCGAGTAACTCAAACGGGGCTTTATTTTCTGTTTCAGCTACATCAGACGCGAAACAGCGCAATTCTTCGGCGTGGACGAGGAGTCCGAGGCTGTGGAGAGACAAAGATGGCTGGATCGGAGACGGAGGATGGCATCGAGGAAATACGGTGCCCTTGTTCCGGAACACAGACCACCGGATCCTGATATTACGAGGGACGTGCCGGATACTACGGATGTGCCAGAGGTAAGTCCATTGGTTATTAAGCTCGCGTTTAGGGGTCGAACGTTCGTCGCTTCTATGGGGAATATTACTCGCCAAACATCCGATTTCCACGATTGTTCGTTTGTTACGGTAGTTTGGAAATTGAAAATTATCGCGTTCGTGTCGCGAATTTCCTTCCTTTCTTCCTTCAAGGACACTTTAAAATTTCTCTGATAATTTATCGACGCGTTGATCCTGTTGAACTATGTTTGGATAGTTAATTAAATATTTAATCGATTCTCGGTGAAATTTGGGAAATTTATGTCGAATGCGAATTGAAAGTGGTAAATGGAAAATATAAAATCGGAGGAAAGTAGAGAAAATTATTTTTGCGTGATTTGGAAGGGTATGAAGCTTCGTTTATTAAGCTCGTGTTTAGGGGTTGAATGTTCGTCGCTTCTATGGGGAATATTACTCGCCAAACATCCGATTTCCACGATTGTTCGTTTGTTACGGTAGTTTAGAAATTGAAAATTATCGCGTTCTTGTCGCGAATTTCTTTCCTTTCTTCCTTCAAGGATACTTTTATATTTTCCCTGATAATTTATCGACGTGTTAATCCTGCTAACTAGGCTTAGATCGTTAACCCTTTGCACTTCGAATTATTTTTCAATTTTCTTACCAGTAACTCCCTATTATATTAAGTATTTTGTTTGAAATTTACTATACAGGACAGTTCCTCGACTGCTCCTTATTTTCAAAAATTTTGGTTACCGGTTTTATTAAATACAGTTTTCAAATATTGTTGTAATTTATATTTGGAATTTAAGTAATTCGAGTAGCTACTTATTTTCTGATTTCTTGTTAAATAAATAAGGGATCAAAGAATGTCGAGTCACGCTCGACAAAGGAGTGCAAAGGGTTAATTAAATATTTCATCGATTTTCGGAGAAATTTGGAAATTTATGTCGAATGCGAATGAAAGTGCTAAATGGAAAATGTAAAAGAATGTAGGAAAATTATTATTGTGTTATTTAGAATAATATGAAACTTCGTTGCTACTCATTCGTAATTTTCGTACGATTAAAGCATCGTTTGAACAATTTTTCGAACATTTATTCTTCTGAATCATGAATAGATGCACGTTTCCAAATATTTTGTTAATTTCGGTTTATTTTCTTCGCTATTACCCCGCTGACTTTAATATTTATAGCCATTTGCCACTTTAATTTTGCTTCCCATTCATTGTCGCTGATGAATAAATTAAACTTATTAAGCTCATAATACTCCCGCGACGATGTAATACATATAAACTTAAATTTTTTCCATCCCTATTAAGTATTTTTATATTTTTACCTGTTTTATCGAGTACCATGAATTCCTGAACCCCTAAACGCTTTTTTTAAACGAACAGTGTAATTCAATTTATGTCATTCACGTGTTTCATTAGGATCCCATTATATTTCAGATGAAAAATAAATATTCCAAACGGGGCAAAAATTTTTTCAAAAATTTTTCCATATAATTTCATCTTACCTGGACTCCATACTCCTTCGTTTAAACTATCCCTCGCGACTTTCGAGTGCTCGTGTCGACGTTTAGAGACAAAGAATCGCAATTTTTCGCAACTATTTTAATACCTGTCGTTTTCGTTGCAATCAGGATTCCTCAAAGCGAATGGCACTCATGCTATATCGGCACAAGACTCGTGGAAACAATGTCAAGTCGGTGCTTAATTCCTCCAAAGCGTGTATCCCAAGTCGAGGTATCGAGTTATCGGTGTAGCATGATTTCCATTAAAACTTTTCCTCTATGGAAAACCCAGACACACTTGGGCCAAGTGGCGCAATTTAAAAGACTTTTTCGTGACAATTCCTAATGTCTGTCGCGAAAATTTCCTTCGTGATTCACGATAAAACTGTGTCATCGAGATGTGTCGAATATCTTCTTACTTCTCGTATCTGTTTTCTCTTGGAACACGGTAATAAAACACCCCCAGTGCCGTGCATCCTCGTTAAATGCGTGAAGGTATATCGATCGTTCTCTTAAACGAAGCCCACTTTGCTCCTGTGCCGATTTTCATTAATGAATTCGTTTAATTGTATTTAATTTCCTTAATTAAAAGCGGAGTTTCTCTTTATTCGCTCGCGGAATTTTAATGAACACGTTTCCCAAAGCTTTATCTCGGTATACCTGTTTAAAACACTGCAACGTACGCGGAACTCGCGGTGGAGGTCGGCACTAATAAAGGTTGTTTCATTTAGGGTGTCGTATTGAGAAGATGGCAGCAACCGGTCAGACGAAAAGATTCAGTGGCCAGGATGACGCTGTCTGGACTCCATTACGTCGTCGAGGTGAGTTTATTTTTTCTTCTCTCTTCTTCCGTGGGAAACAAGATTCACTGTCTTAAACTCGAGTTATTTAGTATCAAAGGGAGTATTTCACGAGACTGGTTAATTTCCTCTTTAATCGAGTTACCGAGATCATCCCGAGTTTTCCAGCAGCAGTCTATTACGCTCAACCGTGGTTAACGGCAGTTTATTTTAGTTATTTCGACAGATTTTCATTCGCGCGATAGGACGAATCGTGTAATTAAATGGGACATAATAATGTAGCGTGACAAAATATTTATTTCGTCTTCAGCTTACGGGAGTAACGCGTATCTTTTAGCGAAGGAAAATTGGGGGTGCGCGAGTGGTTTTAGATACCGGAAACGGACGGAACAAAATGAATACAACGAAACGAATACGAAACTCGAAAATTGATTAATCGCGAGAAAATAATACTAAAATGACGTAACTATAATACGAGGAAAATACGATTTTATTCGTCTCTCTTTGACATCGAAGGATTACAAAGTATCGGTTACAAAGTATATTCACGAGAATTTTTTGAGGCTTCTCTAGTTAGGGCTTTCTATGTATCGTCGAGGGGCCTGTTTTGAACACGTTAAACGCCAAAGTCCCTAGGGACTGGTATAGTAGATTTTCCGTTCAGGCCTCGCTGGTCCATATGGCCCGAAAGGGTCCACATGACTGCTAACTATGCCCGTAAAATCGGCGTGGTGTTTAACGTGTTAAATAGGGAAGGGACCCCCATAAAATTGACAATAAGTGTCAATACCTTGATCGTTGAGTGTAAATTGTGTATTCGTCTTGAAAAATTACAAGCTTTGGATTGTTGCCGAAATTAATATTCTGTTAATTATGTTAGCTTAAATATGATATACAGTGTGACATAAACGGAACGGCACGTAAAACCAACATGGTGTTCGACGTATTAAGTCTTTGCAAAGCTCGATGACGTGCTTTTATCAGTCGCTAATTTGCTAATTTCATTAGGGATTTGCTCTCGTAAAAATCACGTCGCTTTGCCAATTCGCGATTCGCTCCCTATAATTATCACAATTTCGGTGCCCTATATTTCACTTTCCCATGAGGACCACGCAACTCGGCTAGCTTATTTTTAAACATAGCCTTCCCTAACGGTATTAGTCGATTTTCGATTTTTCTCCTAAAATAGGACCCCCTAATAAATCAGCATTGGTCGATTTTCGATTCTTGTTTCTAAAAATAGCATCCCACGATAATTGCCGAGAAAATGTACAAATTCGCGCGATAATCAATTGCAAAGGTAATTTCTTTCATCGAAGCATCATCCACCCGAGCCACAAGAACTACCCCCTTATCGAGCGTGGCTCAGAAAGGAACTCGTTGAGACACGGAATAGAGCCGCGTTTCCTTCGAGGGGAAACGTCGTATCGAGCCGTTCGCATGTCCCATTTCCCGTTATTACCGATGGGAATCAAGGCAAACGGGTAAACCAGTTAATCAGCGTTTCGTTATCGTCAACCGACGCACCGTTCGGCCGCGCCACTGGGCTAAGTTTCCGTCGTCGCCTAACTTGTATGTTTCGACGGAAGTCTGCGCGATCATTAAGCTAACGAGCTGGCGGTAACCCCTTCCGGTTTCCGGACATCGCAGTGCGTCGAATTGGCTTTGATATCTGGCGAATTTACCCCCGACCGATCTCGCGTTAATTACCGATCGCCCATCCACCGCGATCAATCTCGCCAAATTCTGCGAAATTTCCAACCAGAAATTCCCCATTTTTACCCCCTCGCTTTGCTACTCCTTTATCCCCCCTTCTCTTTCTCTCTCTCTTTTTATAGAATATTTCTTTTTCATCCCACGAAGCAGTGAAATTTTTGATACGGACGAGAGTATCGCGGAATTTACTCGCGAAATCTCGTTGAAAAGCAATCGCGGGCTCTCGAATCCGGTGGGGGATTTTTATCGGTGGAATTCGCTCGGAAGTGTTTGTATTGAAATTTTGGTATTCTTGAAAGTTGGCGAAGGCTACGGGGTCGTTTATCCCGCGCGATTAAATCATAAAGCTTGGAACGTTCGGCAAACGTCGATCACAGACCAAGTTTTTTAATTAATAGAAATCGGTTGCTCCCGATTTTTCTCCGATTCTCAGCCTCCCCTGTTTTTCTTTTCTTTCCCTTCTCGATCGAGCAACGAGAAGTTGCCGGTTGAAAAGCCGTGAATTTTCGCGGATTTTCGCTCAGCGAAACGATCCTTTTTATCAACGGCTCGTCGAAAGCGTACAAGTTTCCATCGAGCGGAACAATCCCGTTTTCCATAAGTTCTACGCGAATTTTCATCGCCGTGCTCGAGAACCCGTCTCGTATCTTCTTGCTTAATTAGTTTTTTGACTTTGTTTCGAATTCCATTCGGGATGCTCTCGCGCGGAGATATGAAAAGACGTGCTCCTGCCAGTGGGATAAATGGAGCCGCGCGTTTCTACGGATTAATAGGAACGGGCGGGAAACGAGAGACCGTGGGAAAGGAATTGAAAAGAGTTGAAAAGACACGGAGGAAGAAGCAGCGTTAATAATATCATCGCGATAATATTATCATTTCCGACCTTATTATCGAAATTTCGTAATTCCCTTGTCTCGGCGGCGTTGCAACTTAGTAACCTGGCTAGTTACTTAATTGGATCGGTCGAGCTGGCTGTTTAACTTCGACTAAAAACATTTTCCTCGCGAGGATCGTTAAACAGGGTGAAACTGATTTTCAACCGCGTCGGAAAAATGCTCTCAGTTGGCAATTTCTCGCGAGATGTCGATGCTTCTTGACCCCGAAAGCTCGACTTTCTTGGTCACTCGGGTAGCGTACCGTGACTCATAACGTGTACAGAAAGATGTAAATATTAATCGTAAAAAATTGCGACGTTTATCCCTTCCCGTATTTTAACGAGTCTGACACGTGACGAAGGTGTTGGGTCGAACATGAATATCACGAGTCAGACACGTGAACGGATTATTTTTCTAAATATAGTTGTAAAATTGTTATCTATTGTAAAATATAATATATTTGTAATATTTATGAAAGGGAAAAGGACCAGAGCTTACTTCCGCAACAATAGTGTCGCGTAAAACTGACTATGTCACGCGTATTTTGCATTTCGGCTCGTATTGCGTATTACTGTGCATTGACGCCACCGTTTGGGCCCGGATTTCGTCGAGCTGAACGTCACGGGAAGGGGTTAACAGAGGATCGTGCCTCTGAAGCGTAATAAACCTTTTGCCATTTTCATTTTTCCTTTTTCTTTCTTCTCTTTTCTTTCATTGGCTTTCAAATTTACCGTCTAGCAGGCAGATCTCGCGTCTGACTTGCATCGTAGAATGGCACTTGTGTCGCTTTTCACCGAGCTGTGAACATAAGCCTCCGTGTACAAACCTCACGGAGAAGTTTGTCAAGAATGAGCGGGGCAAAGAAAGTAGATTTAAACTAGAGGCAACGACAGCATGTAAATCCTCTTTGACACTTTACCTCGTTGGCAGAGCTTCTACATTTTTCCTTCTCTATGTCTCTCTCTCTCTCTCTCTCGCTCTCTTTCTCTCTTCCTTTTGCTTTCTCTACGACTTACCAGGGAACGTGTACAATCGCCTGTACGGAAGAAGCAAACGAATAGATCTGGAACTTTTTCCCACGTACAAATGGCCGTTCCCCGTTCGAACAAAGAAGCTTTATTTTTCCGTCGAGAATTCTCGAGATAATTGGGAAATTTTATCACTGTAAAAATGTCGCAGAAAGAAGCTTTACGAAGTTCCATTTGTCCCAGGGATAATCTAGAAACGAAGTTCTTGGCGCGTTTTAATTAATGAAATATTGAGTCACTTCTGCGCCAATGTACCTTTTTAATCAGTTTTCATCGGGATCATATCGATCGTGATACACCGATCATTCGATGGCTGATTAAATTTGTTCCTAGAAAATAGAGAAATATTTACTTTTTGAGCTTCCTACGAGGGTCCTTTTATGTGGTGATTATGGTACAGAGGATTGCAAGGGATTTAAAGTGTTAATTGCAATTTTGAATTTATTTTCGCTGTATTACGGTATTTAATTATTCCTTTTCCGGCACCAAACTTTTACTTCGAACTCGTAGCATAATTTTATCGTACACCGAACTAGAATAAATGCGATTTATTTGTTTGGAATTATATTAGAAAATATATTTTAACGCGATCCATGATAGGTCAGAAAATCGAATTTAATATTCCAATTAAAATTCAGTAATCAGTGGATAATAAAATCCATCCATAGATCTACCCTTACCGACAGATCACTACAAACATAATTTTATCGTATACCGAACTACAATAAATACGATATACTTGTTTAGAATTATATATTTTTTTAAAATATCAGAAAATATATTTTAACGCGATTGGCGATCAGTCAGAAAATCGAATTTGATATCCCAATTAAAATCGAGTAATCAATGTATAATAAAATCCATCCATAGATCTACCCTTACCGACAGATCAGGACGATTTGTTATAACCTCCGTTAAATCTCGATCTTCCTAATTGCTTCGAAAAATGAACAGGATAAGAGCGTGTCATCTAACGAATCTCTAGCTTAACGAGAAAAAAAATCCCCCTCGTGAAACGCACTATCCTCCTGTGGTACTCGTTGAAAACGACCCTCGGTTACGAAGGGCCATTATGGCGTTTGCTCGGGTCGCGTAGTATGCATTTAAATAAGTCGAATCACCTGGTTATCGGTGTAGGCGAGGTCGTGGACCAGGATCGACGATTGAGCCTCCGTTTTAACCGGAAATCCACGCTTAATGACCCGTGATGCCTCGGGAATTCTGTTAAATGCACGCGGCCAGCTACTGTCGGGACCAACCGCGTTTCGATCGAACGATTCAGCCGGCGTCGGGACGCCTTCCTCTCGATGGATTATTCGGCGAAAAGTAGCTTATCGGGAAGGAAGGTTGGGGGTAACCGGTGCTTCCTTAATAAATAATCGGTGAGCGAACGTTTCCACTG